ATATATATATAGTTTTCTCTCTTGATTTCGTTGTCCCTTCCTAAATTTTCTTTTTTTCCACCCATCGTCGTCCATTAATTGGATCTATATACCACTACCTTATTGCTCTAATATTTAACAAGTCTCCGAGGCAATATTATATATCTTCTAGACAAGTTTTATATATGTCTATCTTAACAGTCAACAAACCAGAATACATATATATATATATATATATATATATATACACACTCTCTCTCTCTAATAATGGATTTGAGGGACCTCAAATTAATGTGATTAGCTGACGTACAATGCTTTATCCCAGACAACTACAAATGGTCATTATATATATATATATATGTGTGTGTGTGTGTGTGTGTGTGTGTGTGTGTGTGTGTGTCTATGTAATCCCTGCGGCTCTCATACATACCAATCCCTCTGTTAGTGAAGTTTAACGGATATATGCATATACATACTCTATATATATATATATATATATATATATTGGCGTTGTTTTAATGATTACGCATTATTTATCCATTAATAAGTATCATTATTTTGACTGTGAGATATTGATTCAACAGTTGTAATAAATTAAATAGTTGACTGAAAAAATTAATAATAATTAATAAAACTGAATTCTTATCACGTCATATAATTAAAATTTCATATATAATAGTAACTGCCGATAAAAACGTAATCATTAAAAATTCATTCATATATATATCATACATGATCTGATAAGTGCGCAAAACACTCACCTGCACAACGGCTCTCAAGAACATTATCACTCCCTCGGTTGGTGAAGTTTAAAGGAAATCTTGGAATTCGAAGTTAGATTTAAGTATGTTCTTTTCATAAATTGAGGTGAGAACATGTGTTTAAAAATGAATTTTATGTGAAAGAGAACATAATAGTAAAAAATTAAATTTAAATTTTTATGAGATAAAACACTTTAGTAAAAACGTTTGAATTCAAATTTTTTTTATTTGTGAATTTTTTTCCTTTTCTTTTGTTTGAAATACACTTTTTTCCCCTTCTCAGCTAGAATTTTGGAGTACACTCCTTAGTCCTTAGCCTGTTAGAGGAGTAATAATACATGAATCATAAAATCTCCAAGGACATGAGAGAAACGTGCGAATGTATATGTTTCTATGGTTTTATCAGAATAATATTGATGCTACACTATCAAATTCTTATCGCATTTTTTTTTTCTTTTATATGATGAGTCTTGCCTAGTATCATGGCTTCGCATTGTCCATTGAATGACAAAACAACTGTCTTCATCAAGCAAGAATAATACTATATATATGTATAATGGAACGGAATAGTGAACTCCCACTAAAATTATGTATTACATTACTCGTGACAAAATTGAACAGTATATTCTAAACCGAAAAAAAAAAAAAAAAAAAAAAAAAAAAAAAACCCCTTTTTTAGCAGAGATATTTGTTAATTTACGTGTAAAAAAATAAAAAAATTTTTTTAAAACAAAAAAAAAAAAAAAAAAAAAAAAAAATCATCCCTGTATATATAGTGCTCTTCCTTATAGAAGTCGCCAAACACAATCAACTACAACCCAAATCTAGAACCCTGTCCATAAGGACAATCATAAGTCCCAATAGGATGAGGATAACCAACTTTGCTTCTTTTAGTAGGAAACTTGGTCCCTTATTGACCACATTATTTCGCCCCTTGTTACTCTTTTGTTCCAATCAACGTTTCTTCCTTAAGCTTAGCTATTTTCTGACCTTATCTTTAGTTGGACATTTGTCTTTGAGTGTATTTTCAAAGCCAAGAAATATAATTAGTAGTACAAGTAGTAGTAACACTAATAGTACTACTAATGCCTCAACTTTCATGCCCAAACAATTGGATGTTTTCTTCACTTCTGTGTCTGCCGCCACTGTCTCAAGCATGTCAACCGTTGAAATGGAGGTTTTTTCCAATTCCCAGCTCGTAATCCTCACAATCTTGATGGTATTGGGTGGGGAAGTCTTCACTTCCTTCCTCGAGATTCAACTCGCAAGGCTCAAACTCTCCAAACACCTCCCACCTACGACGGCGCCAGATCAAATCGATCACGAGCTAACGGTGGTTCCTCATCCCGATCATCTTGACACCGAAAACGGGAAAAAACCCGGTTCGGATGTCAACACACAATACCTAAAGTACAACTCTAGAAGGTACTTAGGTCATGTGGTTTTGGGGTATTTCTTGGTGGTCCATATAGTTGGTTCTATATTAATCTTTATGTATGTGACAATATTCTCTTCAGCAAGACAAGTACTAAAAACCAAAGGCATCAAAACACCAACCTTTTCGGTCTTCACAACTGTTTCCACCTTTGCCAATTGTGGTTTTGTCCCTACAAATGAAAACATGATTGTTTTCAAGGACAACTCAGGCCTTCTACTACTCCTCATTCCTCAAATCCTCCTTGGCAACACCTTGTACCCAGTTTTTCTTCGATGTACCATCCGGGTTTTGGAGCGAATAACTCGGAAAAGCGAGTTCAGTTTCTTGCTTAGAAATCATAGAGAAATGGGATATGATCACTTGCTGTCTGGTGTCCATTCAGCTTTTCTTGCTCTAACTGTTTTAGGGTTCATATTTGTCCAATTTGTTCTATTTTGTGCTATGGAGTGGAATTCGGACGCCATGGATGGAATGAATTGGTATCAGAGATTTGTGGCTTCACTGTTTGAGGTTGTCAATTCAAGGCACACTGGTGAATTTGTTGTTGATATCTCTACCATTTCTTCTGCCATCTTGGTGCTCTTTGTCATCATGATGTAAGTAATTTTATCTCTGATTTCTAATTTATTTTACGCAATTTTCTTTTTCCCAGTTCTTACGTATTTATAAACATCTATATATATATGATCAATGGTCGTGCTTTCATATTTAGTTACCAATCAAATATAAAAATCTAATGATGTGGTGTGATAATAATCTAATTTCATCAATTGTCATAATTTTTTTGTTAACTATTCAATATATATAATATTTTTCGAATCAAGATCTATATCTTTCGAATCAAGATCTTACATTTAAAACAACAATCATATCCACCGATACATAGATTTTTAAATTTAGTAGGATTTGTGATAAAATACAAAAATAAAGATATTTGGTATATTCTACAAGACGACACACCTTGTGTATAATCATATTACTGCTTCAGAGAAAAAAAAAATCATATTACAACTTAACAGATGATAAACAATGTGTGATGATTTTGGGGCTGAATTTTTTGTGGCTTCTTTCAAATGTTGTCGAGTGTTTTCTTTCGTAAAATCATATGATTTAAATGACACCGGTGAAAAAAAATTCTTGAAAAATTATTGTTATGACCTATGAAAAGATGTCATTAATATATTTTCAATGATTACGTGTTGAATTTTGTAAGCTTCACAAAAGTATACAATTTCATCATGAACAATAATTCGAAAGAATAGTGAAAAATCTAGATACAAATAAAGGGCAACTAACCATATTAGTCCTTCAATTATATGCACTCTGTGACTTTAAACCTTTAATCTGAACTTTTAATTTGACAAAATATTCTCTGAATTTCTGATCTTTTTACCACTTTTTGTCCCTACAATTAAAATTGACAGATGACTTTTAAATTTTCTTTTTAAAAAAAAATCACATACCAGACCCATAGTAACTAAAATTTTTACTAAAATAGTTGCTTAATTATATGAAAATTGTTCTAGTTTTTTAATAAAGTGTAATAACGATGAAGCGAAAGTTTAGCATTTAATTATAGCTATTTATGTGAAATATTTCAGTTGTTATTCATTCATAACGTGATAATCTATTTGAAATTTAATAAATTCATCGTCAATTTTAGTGTGCAAGGACTAAAGTGGTCAATATTTAAAAATTTAGAGTGTAATTTTTTACAATTAAAAGTCAAAAACTAAAGTGATAGAACATACATGAACATGATACAGGGACTAACAATGTCAATAACCCTAAAATAAATGCACATATATACTTGTATATATATGTGTTTATATGTTACAATAAACGTAATAAGCGAACTAGTTCTTTTTTTATTTATTCTATAATATCAGGATAACTAGATCTTAAGAAACAAAATATAAAAAGCTAATGTTGCGAATACTTTAATGGTTTAGTGACGCATTACAAGATGCAATATATTATAAAGTTTAAGAGATCACATATTGGGCATGAGTGCGCAAAAATGCTATACTCTTTAGGCCCTATATATATATGTGTGTGTGTGTGTGTATCAATATGATAATATGAGTGGAGAAAATCCTCATATGATATAGTAGCACTTGGCTAACTATACACCAAAATACGATTTAAGATGAGACAAGGACACTACAAATCAAATGTAATGATAAAATTCCAATTATAATTGTTATTCAATGTTCTGATTCCGCATGTTGGGTTTCCATAAGAAAAGGAAGACTCCTATAATCGTGTAAAGGAACAATCACACCTACAAATCATTTAAAACTCTATCTTAAAGACAGATTCAGTCAAAATAATCGTGTGAGAGCACAAGCATTAAGCGTACCAATAACCAAACTTATTATTTATGCGAAACACTAATAGTAAGAGAAACTTTCAAGTTTAACCATTATTTTTTCTAACTTTATTATTTATGCGATTACACAAAATTTTAATATCATTACGGTTTTTAAAAGATGACCTGCAGGTTACAAAAGATGACATGCAGGTTATAAAAAATAACCTGCAAGTTATAAAAAATAACCTATAAATTATTAGTGAAATAAGATAAATTTAATAATAATAGCATAAATAAAATAATATTACTTTATTGATGATATTTTTTAAAATTCCCCATATTTCAACAAAAAAATGATTGCCCTTACATCTCTACATGGATTTGCAACAAATTTGGTATTTGGTTCGGGCGTTATGGGTATGCAGCATAAAAAGTTCATTATTCTGATTCTTTAAAATTTTGACAATATCCTTGAGAATCATATCTATAGATCAAACCCAGGATATTTCACCAAGAAATTAAGATTAGATTAGAGTTGGTATTTGTTCTTTCTTTCTTTCTTTCTTTTTTTCCAATGGAGTATTTGTTCTTTTAACCCCACTAGAAAGTCAATGACATTGTGTCTGTGAGAGACAATGCCTAAAGACCAACTATAGACTCTCTCTCTCTCTCTCTCACACACACACATATATAGACACACACACGCACATATTAACACAAATTATTTTGTGGTCTCTAAAAATATTCATCAGTAATTGGCTAGTAGTGCGACCGCTTTCATGTCTCTTACACACTATAGCTAGTAGTGGGCACGTTCTGGTATCCTATGCATAAAGAGTTATGTTATGTATTTGAATTAATTTTATTTGATTTTGTGCTTAGATTTTAAAATTCGTTATAAACGTAGAATGAAAATTTGAACTTGTTTTGAACTCTTATAAAATCAAATAAATTGTCTAAATTATGTAATACCTAACAGTCAATATTTCGAACTTTTTTTAGGTATCTCCCACCATATACTTCATTCCTACCAGTGAAGGATGAAAATAAGGTTTCAACAAATAGCGATATTAGTGGGAAAAAAGGATTATTGGAGTATTTCACATTGTCAACTATATCTTACCTGGCGGTCTTTGTAATTCTAATTTGCATAACAGAAAGAGAAAAGATGAAAAATGATCTCGTCAACTTCAACGTCTTGAACATCATCATAGAAGTAACAAGGTCAATCTCTTCGTCACTTATAGTTTATAATTACTTAACTTTTAATTATAAATCATATTTTATTTCGTATTTTAATCCTAAATCAATTATTTGTTTTAAATTTGCAGTGCATATGGTAATGTTGGCTTCTCAACGGGCTATAGCTGTAAAAGAAGATTAAATCAAGACGGTGATTGTATAGACAAGTGGTATGGGTTTGCGGGGAGGTGGAGCTCTATGGGAAAGTTTATCCTAATTGTCGTGATGTTTTTTGGAAGACTAAAGAAATACAGTATGAAAGGAGGAAAAGCTTGGAAACTGTCTTAACCGATAAATTATGTGGTTTTAAGACCTTATCATGTTCATGTATTGATCAGTCTTATTGTACCACATAGACTTTGAGTAGTGTGTGTGTATATATATAAATATATATATATATATATGTCTTTCACTTTTTACATTTTGTTCATATAATTATACAATGTGATGACGCGAGCTTCCATGGTTCAACGTACAAGGACCCAAGTCTCAAATTTCTAAAAAAGTACTAATTAAGAGATTAATTACATGCACTTTATAGAAAAGGTATTTTATTATGGGAAAACTTGGCAATGTGGAGAATAACATGTTTCTTGACAAGAGTCCCACCATCAAAGAGAGAATAACATGTAGTAGGCCCCTGCGCCCCATTATATAAGAAGGTTGCCACAACTAAAATAGAGCGTCTTTATTCGTCCGCAAGCGTACGTTGTCAAGTTTTGATAGTATAAGATAAGTGGGTATTGTCTCTATAAGGATTGTGTATTAAATTGTCGCTAAGTACCACGATTATTGTAACTCAACTTTATCTAGACACCCGAACTCAATGAAATAAAAATAAAACTAGAACAAATATAAATACAAAAACAAAATAAAATATGGAAACTTCTATGCACAAATATACTAGGGACTTAACTTCACCTTATCATTCCTATGTTCATCCTATCAAACCATTGCTAGGTAATTCTACTCAATTCATTAATCAAGGAACTTAATCTAACCTCGTAACCTCTTCTGAACATCAAACGAAGTCATATGCATAAATACCCGAATCAGTATTCCTTTCTAACTCGTGTACTCATACACTCATTAAGTTTAGCCCTTAAATTAAAAATCAAATGTTGATCGCCTTCCAACCTCACAACAATAGAAATCCTAGATGATAATTTATGACTTGATCACATCTCAGTCTCACAATATCCTAGTTTAGCCTTTCTTTACTTTTTAGGTTTTTTTTTCCTACCTCTTACTTGACTTTTTTCTGGTTGTCCTTTCTTTCTGTGTTTTTTTAACAAGTTTTATCATGCGGAGAGCGTGTTTTTTTACTAATATATATAAATATACACACATAAACTTTCTCTTGGAGTTAATGGTCATGGAATCTTTTCTAACAGTTACAACAATTTATACATTTTATTCAATGATATTCCTATACTTTTTTTCATTGATCGTTGTTAGATTCAGATTATTTATCTAATTTTTTATATTTCAACTAGTATTTAACGAATCACATTATGATGCGTCATTAAATGGACTCGATTAAAAAGCATTTTAAATCTTTTAAATAACGTAACACAAATAATAAATTTAGACATTATTTTGAACACTACAATTAAACAAGTAATTTGAGTCATTAATAGTGTACTTGTATATATGTATCCTATAGTATTCAAGATTCTGATTCACTCGTTAGAGATTTGTGGAGATCGAAGATGAATAGTCATTACTAGTGACTTCACAAATATTAGACTATACACATTTAGCATATGTTCCTTTGACCCCACCATATAAAATATATATATATATATATATATATATATATATATATATACACACGTGAAAATTGAATTTCATCACGAGGTTCCAAAAGACTATAAAGTAAGAATCTCATACAAGCAATAAATCATTCAATTTGTGATCACAGGAAATAGCTTCATAATTACGCATGTGGAGATATATGAGAGACCATATTAAGGTGATCTATCATTTGTTAACTTTCGGGCAATATAAACTTTTTCAGTCGGCGAAAAATTAAAAATTTAAGGAAAAATTAAAATCATTAGTTATAATGTTCTATTACAACAATTCTTCTTATTGCAATAGGATGCAATTGACATTGTATTAAATATAAAAATTTTAAAATTTTTGTGCCATACAAGTGGCTCTACTTAATTTGTTGCAGCCCCACCAGTATGGTATTGATATTCTAATTTTATGAAAATTTTTGAGAAATAATCAATAGCAGTAGAAATATTAGAAAAAATTATGGGAATTGCGAAAATTTACATAAAAAAACATATTTCTAATACTTAATGATAGTATAAATATTAAACATAAATAAACAAGTTTTACATGAAAAACTTTAAACATATTAGATTTTTCAATATCAAAAGGAAGTTCTATGAGGTTCAAATGTAGTTAGAGCACATTTTAATTCAAACAATATTTGTACTATGACATGTTATTTAAATAATGTTAAATATAGTTATGAACATGTCACATATAGGTTTGTTAATTCATTCTCGCTATATTAAAAAGAAAAGAAATAAAATGTTTGAAATTTTCTTTGAACCGAAAATTTTCTGAAGTTTTCCAAACTTTTCCCAAAATTTCCTAAACTTCTTACCGAAATTACACGATATACTTACCGATATTGATGTATTTTTACCGATATTTTTTAGTGGAAAAATTTTGATCCCTCAAAACTTTTGGGTTGTAATTTTAAAAATTTCGGCTAAATTTTCATCGTTGAGTATGGCCAACAAGTGATGTAATTATTGCGTCTGTTGCTAACAATCGAATACTAGTGATACACTTGGAATTCTACAAAAAAATTATATGTTATCCGTTTGTTTTTGTTTTCGGTTCTTTTCTAACTCACGTTCTCATTCTGATTATAATTTCTAGTTACAGTCGTTCCAAAACTATAATTATTGAAATTATTTTGGAAGCAATGTTTCTTCCGGTGACCTATAAAAGAGAATTTTGAAAACGTATTGTTGTATTTCGTCTCAACTCTCATCAAGACAATTATTTGTCAAACTAATGTACGTAATGAGAAAATGACAGATTTTACCTCTTTAATTATCTGACTCACTAAAAGTATCGTTTTTAAAAATCTCTATCCATTAACTAGTAATAATTTAAAAGGTAGAAACATATGGACTAATGTTCAAGATAGAAATAAAAATGAGCTCAATTTCAAGAGGTATTTTTAAAAATTATCCTAATGTAATTGAGGAGCGAGGGCCCTTTTATAGGGTTTAGAGGGATAATAGTTTCGTTTCTTTTCAATGTGAGACAAAGAACATTACATTAATTTTGTAACTTCATCGAGTTTTTCTTTAGTTTTTTAACTTACGGGGATCATGCGCACTTTGAAAATGGATTTTTCATTCGCTTATTCACCATTTCAACATATTAATATTTTCATTTCAATCTCCTCACAACGGAGAACATAAATACAAATTAATCATGTCACTAACATGAAGTGGATTCTACTCAAAATTTAGTCTCAAAATAGTTCCTTAATAAAGGGTTTTCAAGTAATTTTTTTTTTTAACAAATCCCGTCACTAAGTTTGATTCACTAATATTTCAATCTGGATGTAATAATCTATTTAAATTTCTTATTTTGTGAGTTTCTCTGTGGTTTCTCGTGAGATCTATAGCTTTCGAGTCAGCACTCCGAAATAGTCTTCGTGGATTGTGTTCTACATAAATTTTGGTATTTCATAAGATTTATGGTTGTAATATTTGTTTCACGGCGGTCTTTATTGAAAAACCAAAAAGAAATATTGTTCTTCACAACTTTTCTCACATAGGACTTTTGGTTTTTGTTTTGATTTTTGTTTTCTCATACCTAATATTGCATATTTTAAATTTTGTTAGTTCCCTTAGTAGAGAATCATACAGTTTTATGTCACTTTTATATATTACAAAATTTTAGTCCCTCCTTTCTCTCGTACATTGATATATATGTATATATATATATATATATATATTTATCAAAAAGAAAAAAAAAATCAAACTATACCTGAATGAATAAGTTTTCAGTGCTTATGTTTCCATCAATGTTCACCATCATTAAATTGTGAGAAGAATTTAATTCATTCATTGACATATATATTTTTAATCAATTATTTAATTTATTACAACCATCGGATAAATATCACTAGATTAGACAATAATACCAAATTACCCATCTATAAATAAAACTATAATTGCGCGCGTCGGTGGGTGGATGTGTATTTAAAAAGAAATGCAAAAATCAATCCACACTCAGCCTCCTACTAGAGGGGATACACAACATTCACAAACACTCATTTTCACCAGTGCAGTAAAATGTAATGATCAAGGGAAAATAGTGTATAACAAGGCTCCATGAACGAAAGACACCTAAAGAAGTACACCAAAGAGCTGGCATATATGTGGCTACTTAATTTGCAGTATATGAATGTTGATACCCGTTTTAGTACAAAGCTTTTCCTGAGGCCCAAACCCATCTTTTCATCCCACAATGTGAATGAGATATTCATCTGCGGACCAAGTAACACTTTAAAAACATTCGTAGGTTATGGTATTATGGGACGTGAGTAGTTGAACGAGCTCATTTACCGTTGGTTCGACTTAGGTGATGGAGAAATAGCTTCCGAAACTCACCCTCTTACCTTAGGTAACCCGAAGTACTTATCCATGCTCAAGACCCGTTCTTGTCTTTGGTAACCCAGACAACCCAAAGGCTGAGTTATTATCTTCCAAAAATACCAATTGATGGAAATTGAACTTTCCAAACACTTAGGCTTTCAGCTTAAAAGGTCAACTTGTATTGTGATGGTGGCCCAATATCTTACTATACTTAAACCATGTGAGACTTTGGATATCTATTTACCTTTTACACGCCCCACAAGACAGTGCTCTTAATTTGGAGTCACTAATACTGTATTGGATGGATTGAGCTGCTCGTTCGAGTTGGTTGACTCCGATACCATGATGAAAACTGGACTTTTTAGACATTTAGGCTTCGTCTTAAAAAGTTAGAGTAATTATATTTGCACCACCCAATTAATTAATACCCCCACCAATTCATAATTTATATTTATTACAATTTTATCCTGCATTAAAATTATATTAAACTCATTAATATACCGCCACATTAATTGTAAATGGACATAATATTCAAAAAAAAAAAAAAAAAAAACATAAACCCTGATTAAGTATTATAATTAGAAATTAACTTTCAAATGAATAAAAAAACATACCCCCATTTTTTATTTTATACTAAACCAA